AAAGTGTTACTGGAGTAAATTATTAAGCTAATCATAAAGGTTTGACCGTCACTTAACCACGACACATTTCTGTTACTGTGAGAAGCCAGATGATGTTACAGTACAGTGAGTAAGAATAAAGCATTAAAGAGGGTGGCAGAACCTGAGAACCAGGGATTGGGCTCTTACTTACCGTCACCTAACAAAAAGACACAATAGCCTAACTGCCTCTATGGTAGAAGGACTTTTGATAGCAGGGAAAGACTGAAAGAAACAAAGACTCCACAAGAAAGCGGTCTTTTGTTAATCCTTGGCATAAATGCAATTTGCATCTGTGAGACTAGAGTTACACTTTATAGTCACTGAGAACAAAGGCTCAAGTTAGGCTTTCTGATGGACAGACAACAAGTTTTAGTTGGTCAGTTGAAAACACTCAATGGGAGACATGCTATGTATTTCACAGAGTTACAGAGCAGAAACAGAGAGCTTTTATCTGATGTAACAACTACCTTTAAGTTACAACCTCCTGTGTTATACATTCCACAATAACATAAAGAAGACACACCCAGACTTGCACTCATGCCTTTCACGTTGCACATTTTACCCATGAGTCGCATTTAGTCACATTTGGCTCTACTGCGGTTATCTCACAGCCATGAATCTCTCTACTTCAGTGACACAGTGTTGAGTCACTGTGGAGCACCCTCCGGGATTCAGTTACATTTTTTCCTGACACCACTGTCAGCATAGGTGCCATCAACGCTGCCTCAAAGTACAGGAAACGCTTGCGGAGTCATTTCCAATATCCTCAGCTCAATTTGCAAGCTTTCCCCACCTGAGCTGAGGAAGGCAGAAGAGCAGAGTAGCATGCAAAAGTTGGCAGGTAAAGAAAGCGTGGGAGTGCAGCATACCGACATAGCACGCCAGCAGTGCAGAATTTTTGCTGGGCTGTCCAAGCCACATTCTAAAACCCAAGAATATTTGACTTACCTACATTTTAGAGGATGGAACCAGCTAATGTTTGGCATTATTGCTTGATAAACGACTTATAACCCTCAGTTTAGCGAGTTACTCAATTCAGTTTTAGAGGCTGGGCGACACCATATACGCATGCGCCCGGGTTCGAGTCCGACCTGGCGGCCCTTGTGGCTGATGGCGTTCGCCCCTCTCTCTCCCCCCTTTCCTGTCCTCTGCCAGCGTATCTCCTGTTCAAATAAAGGCATAAAGGCCCAAAAAATAATACTTTAAAATAACCACTCAGTTAATTTTCTTACTAATCATTCCAGCACTATTTGACAGGTATGCACACCTGAGCCACACCTCTATGAGAAACAAACGACAAAGGAGAGACAGCTAGGGCTTTTCTTTTGGCCATGCCAAGTCAAACCATGCTGCGTGAAAACACGGCAAGTTGTGCAGAGCCATTCTGGCTAAAGCGCGCCTGACCACCTCCAGGCTGTGGTGTCAGCACAACCAACCTGCGATGACCCTCCTTCTCCCCCTCAACCAAGCGTGTGCTCCAAAAATCAACTTATATCCTGACAGACAGATGTTTTTTTAAAGTCTCTGGGTGTTCAGCTCTCAGTAGGTTGCTTCGAACTGAATCTCTGTGGTTTCAAATTTAGTTTCTCTCCTGCATCCCTGTTTGTACTGTCATATAACTGCTTTATTTCACTGTTTCATGTCCACTTTCAGCTGTACAGGAGTTGTGTTAAGTTACTGCTGATGAAAACCCAACACTTCCCGTTTTGCTGCTCCAAAATAAAAGCTTGAAATATGTTTAATATTTGTTATAAATTTAAATAACAAAATAACAAGAATTTTACGGTGAATAATTTACAGGCAGTTAAATATGTTTATCACTGAATTAGCAGAACTTAGTTAGCGGCTTCAATAAAAACATATCAACATACTGCAGGGAGGAAGGTAAGGAACGTAACTGCTGTGAAACAATCAGAAAATAATGTTTTATTTATTTGATTTATTGCTTTGTTCTCACCAACGCCAGTCTCTCTCTTCATTCAATCTTGAGCTCTCTCAATCATTGCTGCTCTCTCTACCTATAAACACAAACCTTGAAGCGGGTCGCTCAGCTGTAACGGAGATACAAATCCCTGCCGCGCTGGACTGGTGCACTGAGTTAAACCAAGGCAGCACATGTGTATGGAAAAGGGCTAAGAGACTCGGTGTGAGTGTGGGTGTGTATGGTTGCCTGCAACGACTCTATCAGGTCAGGGATAAAGAGTGAGTTCTCTAGTGGTGTAAAAAGGATTAAAGGGGGAACATGGGTAAGTTAAAACCTTCTTTGTGACTCTTTGACCTGCGCACACACACACACACACTAGAGCTGTAGATCTAAGGGAGTAAGACACAGCTCAGTTTTTACGATGTCACTGAGCCTGCTCTCAGGAAAAGAGGAAAAATAGGAGTTTGGTTGACCGGTGGGTGTTAGACCCAAAGCTACAAATACCCCCATGTACATAAAAGCACAAATGCACATTTAACTATCTGGTTTCAGTCGTAATTAATGGGATTCAGATTTGGGTGTTTATGTGTGTGTGTGTGTTATGTGTGTGTGTTAGAGACTTGACTGGGTAAGGGATTTGGAAGCACAGTTGAGCCAGGGGTGAGGGGCCTCAGGGATGGGGGTTCTTTCTTTCGGCCAGAACCCCACTCGTTCTTTGGGTAACCTTAAACCTCAGAGGCCCTTACAAAGCAGTGTCAAACATACGGCCCAATAAAAAGCAGCGCTAGTAAAATAATATGTTGTTCAGCTCCAAAATACATGTGACTGAATGTTTTGTACCCTCTTTGTGCCAAATTATACTGACAGCCGACTGACTGACTGTGAACGTGTGGGAGATATTGATGCTGTTGTTGACAGGTTATTAGGTACTTCCATATAATGTCCAGCTTTTGTTGAAACTGTACAGATGTATTGATCGAACAGTAATGAGTGATGTATGTGACATCTCTCATAACACATTACATTCAACCTGCTGAGTCAGTCTATGTTGAAAGCCTTCTCAAAAGTGAGTTTAGGTATGGAAGTGAATGGGTGGGTAAGATTTTTCAGAACTGTTTTTTGTATAGGCTTGCATTTGTATCAAAGCTTATTAGAATTTATTTTATTTTGCTAGCTCATTCTGTGCTTCCTATGCAGAGGTTCTCAAATCAGATGAACATATTTGTTCTTTTATTGTGCCTGTCACAGGTGGTGATGCACCACACTGTAACACACATTGGAATAATGGTAATAAAAATAACAACGAGCATTCCACAACAACAGTATTGTACTTTTTTTTAAAACTAACACATCCCAGTGTATAAACTGACCTTCCACAGTAGTTCACACTCCCTCTCCTCCAGCGCCTTCTTGTGTCTGAGGACAAGGGCCTTCACTTCAGTCTGCACCACCTTGGCTTTGATCTCCACCTGCTCTGCCATGGCCTGGACCTTCTCCATGCTCAGCTGGGGAAACAAAACACAATAATGGGATCTTACTGATGTGGCACAACATCCTGTCAGCTTATTTGACAGTAGGCTGAAGCAAGAAAGAAAAAAAATAATTTCAAGAATGACCACTTCCAGTAATAACAGACCGAACACAGCTACAGAAAGAGAGAAACTAGATGCGAGGACATGCGAAGATAGATGACTCTCTCACTTCATAGTGTGACTAAGGACCGGACACGTCTAAATGCTCAAAAAACACCAGTGCCTGGTCTGTTTTATTACTCAGAAGGGATACAGATGACCCCCAGAAGCAGGATGCAGAGGACCAGGAAGCATTAAAAGAAAGGACACTGTATGTGACATCTTCCTGGCACAAACATCTGCTCCATTTTAGTGATCTGTTTCTTTGTCACGTTTGGTGGCTCCTTTAGAGGGAAAAGGGAAACATGGGTCAAGAATAGGAAGTCACTTCACACTGCACAAGATGATGCAACTTCCTGCTGGGCAGAACCCCTGCTCACTCCTGATATTCACAGTCGGCATCATAAAAACTACGCTATCCAGTATCAAAAGGCACTGCATTCTTGTGCTTTGTTACTTTAATTATTTAAATCTTTATTATCTTATCTATTTAAATGTTATTGTTTCAATAAAAATGTTATTACAACTTAAGACTATATCTTATTTAGGCAAAGTTCTGTATTTAAAATTGAGCAGTTTGGCATGTTTTCCTATGTGAAAAAAAGGTTATTGAAAAAAGTATTATTTGGTACCAAAACTCAGATAAAGATGTAATAAGGATGTTGCTTTTGGTAAGGTATTTACAGTTAAGACTGTATTTACTGAACAAGAATCCCTCTTACAATAAATGGAAGTAGATAACCAAGGCTTCAGTACAATAAAATGAGTTTCTCCATTATCTTGATAAATACAGGCATTAAAAAGAAACTGTAGGGCGTAAACTTGGAAAATTACACCATAAAGGCTTTGAGTTTTTACAACCCGCAATTTGGGACAAACGCACATTTTCCTCTTTGTCTCCCTTCCACCCTGCTGTTTTTATCTTGCTTTTCTTTTCCTCTGGCGTTTTCTGGGAGGTCACAGGGTGAACTGGACCTCACAGGGACGAAGGGGAGGTGGGATAAGGCTTTCTTTGTGATATCGGCCGCAGGGATCAAAGGTCACCTAAACCTCTACAGGTCATGATCTGCAACCCCTGTCTTAAGACATATACCGCCCACCCTCCCAACTGCACCCCTACAAGAACAAAGCCTAGCAGCAGGGCCCTTTTCTCTTTCGCCTGGCCATTTGTGGTTGGCAGCTACAGGGTCAACTAAATCAGGCTCATAGAGAGGGAACAGCAGGAGGCAATCCTGGAAGAATCAGGGGAGGAAGAGAGTGAGGAAGGAGGCAGGGTGAAATATATATAGCCACCACCTTTCTCCAGTTGTCCCTCTGTATTCCTATAAAATGCTAATTATCCTTCTCTATTCTCCATTGTTTTTTTCCTTTCTCCTCTGAGCTGGAGTGGGGGAAAGAAAAAAACAAATTCTCACACTTTTTCACACATTTTAAGTCCTCTGTTTCTTGGTCACATTATCTCCCTCTCCCGTCTGTGTCTCCATCTTCTCTCTTTCAGTCTTTCCCTCGACATTCCCAGAAGAGCACAGCTTGGAACACAAAGAGGGTCAGACTGACCAATCAAACCGCAGAGTAGAGGAGCTCTGGCCAACCAGGAGGTCACAAGTCCAGGGTCAGAGGTCAGGGAAGATAATGGGTGTGGAGTGGGCGGAAATTTCCTACCTCAGGGGACAGGAGCGCGTGTGGTGTGTGTGTGTGTGTGTGTGTGTGTGTGTGTTTACATATTATCTGGCGTCAGCATTTACTCCCATGGTGACCTGGGACAAAAAGAACACTAAACACTGCAACACATTGCCAGATGGTAGGGGGCGTTTCCTATGACTCAGCTGCACGGATCCTGGTGCTTTTCAATAAATACATTATTGAAGTTGCTGATTTGACTCTCATTGGTCAAGAACAAGTGACTGCTGTGGTACGTAGCTTTAGTTTTAAACTTGCGCGCGTGGCCTGGAGTCTGGCATTTAACTGAGCAGATCTGTGTTGTGATATCTTGGAATTTGTAGAACATCCAGTGTGACATAAGCACACATCCATTATAAGGTACAAAGTGTGAAGCAGTCACACAAAGGTCAAGCTCTGCTGAGGAGATAGTGCATGCAACGTGTTACATGACCTAAGTGGAACAGCTAGTGTTTCATGTTTGAGTCTTTACCAAGGTCACTGCCCCACCTTCCAACACTAGTACATGTGACCTGTACCTGATACCCCTTTTAATGGGCTAGCTAGACTATATACACAATAAAACAATAACTGTAATTTTTCTGCTGAGGAGATGCCTTATCTTTAAAATGTTAATGATAATCAAAAAATGCCTATTACCATTTCTCAGAGCCCAAAATTACATCTTCAAATTAATTCTTCAAAAGACATGACTTTACAGTTATAAAACATTGAGAAAAGCAAGAAATCCTTGCATTTCAGAAGCAGCGATGAGCGTATATATGGCATTTTTAGCCAGTAGAGGGATGGCTCTAGTGATGGTAATGTCGGTCTATAGATTGATTCACCACTTTGGTCTGAACTGAAACATTGAAACTATTAGCTGAAGTAGCACCAAATGACTCTGGTGAAGCCCTGACTTTTTCTCTAGCGCCACGATGAGGTTGACATTTGTGTTTTGAGAAAATGTTGGATGGATTGCCAAGAACCTTGGTACAGACATTCATGTCCACCTCAATATGAACAGAATTGCCTACCAAAATTGATGCAGATTTTTGTTTTTGTTAATGGACTAATCAAGTTAATTGTTTTGGCACTATGAAAACCATTCCCTTCAGATCAGTGACAGCGACTGCAACTCGTGGTGCTTTTGGACATAGACAAAAAAAAATAAACGCCCAACAATTAAACGAACAAACTGTTAGTGAAACCTCTTATCCTTTCTTCACTTCACAAACTGAATGTTTCACTGTATGAACTGGAATCTAAGGGGGGTCTAGGAAGCTGCCATCCAATCTATAATTACGTAAATGAACAGATGCAGTTTGTGTGGGGGTGAAAGTAAGAGGCAGGGGGGAGTGAGTAAGTGACTGAATAGGGGGAGGGCAAAGTGTACCACTTCTTTAAAAAAAGGAGGAGAGTTTTCCTTTCTCCAAAATCCTTTAAATACCTCATCTACCCTCCCCCATCCTCCTCACCACTCCTCCTCCCCTTTGACCTTCAGCCCTGCCCCCGCCTTACCTCACCCCATGCGACCCACCCCCTTTTAGGGCCAGCTGGACACCTCTAACCCCAGGCTTCCCAGCAGCCCAGCACTGGTCACTCTCAAACATATTCAAGCTGATCATCTCTAATAGTTGGTCTCTCTGTGCCGAGGGACGATGGAAAGACACAGCTGCTGTCCTCAGCTTCTCCACCGTCCCTTTAGGAGATGGATGAGGGTGGATTTGTGTGGTTTGACCTTCATAGGGATTGTCTTTTTGTCAGGCCTTGGAGAATCCTGCAGAAGAGCTCCTGGCTTTGTTGAGTTAGGACTTAAATCAGTTTGACCTATTTGAGTCCTGTGGAGTGATATAGGACTTTTTTTTTTAATGCAACAAGAAAATCTGGCCATGTTCTCTTAAATTGAGCATTTTCTAATTTTTCATATTTTACATTACTTTGTATTAAATCAAAACACAAAAATGTATTTATAAAAGTTATTTTATGCTATATGTTTGCCTCTATATTGCTGCATTGGTTCCAGATTTAAGGGGTAGAACAAGCCAACAACTCAAGGATATATTTTTTTTTTTTATCCCCTGTGAGTGTTTCTGTCTGGCTTCCTGTCTCACCTGCACGGCCTGTCGTCCCTGCTGCGCATCTGACAGCAGCTGGATGGTGATGGCCCTGCAGTCCTGTACGGCGTCTTGTAGATAAACGAAGGTGTGGCCCATATGACGGCCCACGCTACACTCCCTGCAGATAGGCACCGAGCAGGTTTCACAGAAGAACAGGAATACCTGAGAAAACAAAGACATAAATGGACAAATTAGTTTTGTGTTAAAAATGGTAAAAACTAAAAAACCGCATCCGATTGGACTTATATTCGCTATATTCACAATTCACACTCATGTGTTTTACTGTACATAGGCTGACAATGAAATCAGACTGGCAGGATGAATGCATTGATCACAAAGCTAATTAATGAGAAAGGACCATGAATGATAAACAATTCATCTATATGTATGTGTTACCAGGGAGGCTCATATAGGTCTCAACACCCAAGAGAGTTCCTCTCTTTAAAAACACAAAGCCAGAAAGACTAAAGGCCACAAAAACTAGATCAATAGTCATTCTGGACATTCTTTTATCACCTAAAGAGAAGGGCCATAAAGGGACGTTACTCCCATTTCACATTTTTCAAACCTCTTACTATAACTAAGCTGGAAACAGTCTCATAGTAGTTGAGATTTGAGTTGCTTGACAGTTTTTTTATACCTGAAAATGTACAATTTTCTTAATGAAAATTAATTACACACCTTCTTTCCTAAATTTTCTTAGATGGAGTTGAAATTAATCACACTTATTTTAGTGGAAGTGCTTGAAACATGATGGATGAATAAAAGCAACAGATCATGGTTGACAAAAAAAGTGCCACTGTCCCTTTGGATGAGAAGGAAAAATGTAATTTAACCTTTGCTGCTAAAACGTAATCTTTGCTTTAAACCCCTTGTCTGAATGCTGATTGGTTGTAATGGAAGGCTAATTAAATATGCACTGGCCATCATATCCCAAAGAGACACCAGATCAATGGCCTCCAATAGCAGGAGACCTGAGTGGATGGGGAGGGGTCTGCAATCAATCCATCAATAATGGCTGTTCCCTCGGGGAGCGGTATAATGTAATGACACACACACACACACACACCTCCCCCTTCATCTGACTTCCTCCTCCAGCTCCTCTTGGATCCTTTTCTTGCCGTCTTTCCTTCAGCTGGTCCCTGTCTTCTACTACAGTCTCTGCACGGCTCTTTCACTCAATGCCCTCCTCTTTTCTCCCCTCCTGTCCTATCCCACCCCCACTGACATCTCCTAAATTCCAAGGGGACGGGACACACAGAAGCAAGGAATGCAGCTGGGCTGGAGTGGAGGAGGAAGGTGGAAAAGACGATGACGGACACGGGGCTGAGGCGGGACAGGCAGATTGATGGTGCAAGAGTAGGATGGATTGTGGTGAGCGATTGAGCCACAGTGTCTACAAGACTGAGATCAGCAGCACTCAGATCATCAAATGAAGCTGTTCCACTATTGACAAATACATAACGAGTGGTTTAATGAACTATACATTTTTACGGTGATAGGAAAGCCAGTCCTGACATGAAAATGCTGACTTACCATTTGTGACATTTACAGGCAAAAGAACCTACTTTTCAGGATTGGCCTTTTAGCAGCTCCACAATAAGTTAACATTGAATGGTTATAATTTCCCCATCAATTACTGTACTAAATTTGCAACCAAAGGGTTAAATTTGTACAGCGTGACGACCCCTGCTGTAAGTGATCAATGTCCATCAACCATCAATGGTTTGGTAATCAATGCCTTCTGTGGTGCCACCTGGGCCTGGTGTTCCCGGATTATAAATCTAGGCTGTTACTCATTGTCGCTCTCTCTGCCTACAGAAGCACCCCCTTCGGTGATGTAGCTAACTTGTCCCTTGGTTCTCCTTTGCGTATATTATGCATTTTATTTTAACATCCACACACCACGCACACCCAACATTACTGACCTTAATGACATTCACATCCCATGCTTTGGGATCCCTCACATTTGTCATGGCCGAAGAGCCAGGTTGTGACAACAGTGACTAACAATTTTATCTGTGTGTAGAAGGTGTGTATATGTGGGGTAGGATTTCATTAAATGTGTGTATTCATGTCTGTGTAATCAAGACAGCTACAAGCCTCCACCTATCATTTATTTGGATCCATGTTGTAACCTTGGAAACAACCACTTATCATGGGGCCCTGACTACATACTAAGTTCTCATCACTGAAAACACTGCAATGACATCAAAACCATACACGTGACATACATAACATTAAGATGACCCATGAGATTTTATATGGACCATTCAGAAATCAATAATATCTTATGACTGTATTATCTCATGTTTACAGTCACCATGTGGAAACATGGCAAAATGAAAAACAGCAGAAGAACAGAAGCCTGTTACTGAAAACACTGGAGTCCTGTTTCACAGAACTAGATCCAATGACAAATAGCTGCAAGACGCTTTAGCTATCTTTAATGCTATCTGCAGCTTATGTGTCATCAACAGCCCAACGCTCCTTGAGGTGAAACACACATACACGCAAGGTTGTAGATTACATAACACATCGGCCTCTTAGAACATCAGTCAATATTATTGACTCACTCAGGATACTGCCTCTTCCCAGAGGTCTTCATGGAAGCATCCCTCTCTGCCTGCCTTCGTCTTTATCTGTGTCTCTCATTCAACAAACGGTTAAGTCATTTGCCACAAACATCTATTTTACTCAACCTATGAGACAAAAACGCATCACACACAAAAGCCAGGAATACAGCTGCTCTGTTACACATATGGTACTAGAACGGGTCAGACATTACCTATACCATACTGACTGGACACACAGGATACCCTGGCACACGCAAGAAGACACCAGAAACTTCCAGTGTGCACACGACACTAAATGTGAAAAACAACTTTAAAAGTTGTGAAATGGGCGTGGTGTCACGCTAACAAAGCTGTAAATTCCACAGAGAACACCCTGGAGGGAAGGCCTTCAGGCAGAGGTGGCTCACCTACTGAATTTATTTATTACACATTATCAAAATATACAAGCTAATGTTGACGTGTGTGCAAAATGCACAACAAAACACATACACAGGCCCACAATGTGAAATGCTACTGGAAAGGGGCTGGAACAAACATGCCATCGCCAGATATAAAAGCTCTGAGCAGGAGGGCTTGGCTACGTTGGGGGAAGTGAGTTATTGTATTTCATTAGTGCACCGGATGTTTCTCATTCACCCTCTCTGCCCATTACGCTCCTCCTTTGTGAGTTTACACTTATACACCCACATATGTTCAGGTGTTTGAAAAATAAACCAAAGAGATGCCTCGAAAAGAATTTAGGGACTATTTTTGAGTTATTTCCATTAAAACTCATTAAAATACACTGGACTCATTAGCTGATTAATCAATTAGAAAATACATTAGAGAAATCAACAACAATTTTGATAATGCATTTGATGATTTGCTGATCTCCGTTTTATGTAACTGTACACGGAACATCTTTGGGTTTTGGAGAGCTGTTCCAAAACAATTCACGTTTGGCACTGGGAAATTATGGTGGGCATTTACACCACTGATATTTTACACACTAAAAATAGACCTGTTATTTCTTCAAAATAACTTACAAATTAAATCAATAATGAAAATAAGTGCTAGTCGCAAGCATGGATTCAAATATAATGTTTGTGCAGAAGCAAGCAAAGCACTAAAAAATACTCGTAATTCCAGTAATCTGAGTATTTTATCTCTGCTTAACACCACAGTAAAGGCAGTAGAGGCACAAAATGGACATTAAAATATATTTTTTACTGATTACTAATAATAACATATTAATACACATTCAGATTTTAATCAGACAGTATCACACCACATTCTAGCTCAACAAGAGCAAAATTCTGATACCTTGAGGGAAACAATGTTACAATAAATGCCCGATGGCTACGAGCCTGGCCTTATGCTCATGCAGGGGGCAGGCAGCAGTCAAATCAGCCCCCTTTCCTTCCTCCCTCCCCTCCTAGGTACTGGGAACTGGGGGAGAGGGCACGAGCTTAACTAGCCAGTAAAATCTCTCCATGCAGCACTCGCTGCCTGCATGCACAGCCGAGTGGGGGGAAGGGACAAGGGACATGTAATGTCACACTGTGGTGCCAGAAAAACCAGAGCTGCTCTGGAACCTGTGAAAGCACATTCCCTCAAAAGAACTTAACCACTTTAACTGACAGGGAGATGCTCACACATCTGCGATGGCCGTGTCTGCCATTTCTCAACACTTTCTATCTTAAACTATACTAATTTCACATGTACTTCAAATATGGTTGGAAATCCCTTTCAAATTCACGGATAGCATCACTGAAAACTCTAACTAGATTTTTTTTGTAGGAAGTAAAACTAAAATGGGGTTGAAAATAAATTTGAAAAGTGTTATTATGAAATCACACAAGCCCACATCCAAAATTGAGAACGCTTTTGCTGCCATTGCCCTTTCAGAGTACCGGTTCCTGATTAACCTGACTGAAGTGCCTACAAAGCTAATATACTTGCAGTAGATAATAAGTGTATTTATCTTCATGATCAAACAATAGCTGAGGAACACAATGAATTTCACATATAATTTCATATGCACAAGGAACTGAAATTAATTAAAAATGCCACTTTAGAAAGATAATACTGCCCGGGACCAATTCTGAAGTAAGTAGGGGGAAAAAATGAAACACACTCCCGGTGTTGAAGCTTTTTGCAGCCACCGTAGTTTCTCCTTCGCGCTTTGAAGGGGAGGGTGAAGTTCCAGAATTACGATCTGCAACTGCGCCGCTAGATAACACTAAATCCTACACACTGG